CACTGCCTCAGCACTGACCCTCTGACAGTGCAGCAATCCCTCAGGGACTGACCCTCTGACAGTGCGGCACTCCCTCAGCACTGGCCCTCCGACAGTGCGGCACTCCCTCAGCACTGACCCTCCAACAGTGCGGCGCTCCCTCACTATTTGCCTGGAGGGTCAGCGTAGGTCTCGAGGATGGTTTAACCCCTGTCCTTCTGAGTCTGCTATGGGTTTGTTAATCACGTGCAGTCCCTTTTCAAGACTTTCGCCATTGACCAGTTCTGTAACACCTCATTAAACAAACTATAATTTCCACAAACCATTTTTTAAATTCCCCATTAAACAGTTCATTCCTCATTGAACAATTTTGTAATTCCCTATTAGACACTTGTGTAAGTCCCCTTTAAGCAACTGTGTAACTCCCATGAACCAGTTCTGTGAGGTGCAGTATTGTTGGGGTGTTCATGTTGTTGCTGACTGTTGAAGGGACTGGAACCAATGAAAGTCTGTCACTGAACCCCAACTAACTCAGTGAGCTGGGGCGCATTGACCATCAGCTCTTCGTACTTGTCGATGAACAGGCGAAGGCGAGACAGGTAGCTGTCCTCGTTATAAGGGATGTTATGTTGTTTGAAGTAGTTCGATACAATAGGCTTCAACTGTAAGTGAAAATGGGACAATGTTCAGAAAATGACAAAACACACTGTCCATGTCTCGAGGGGATGCTAACAGTACTATAGGGGCACAGCTCTATTTGCCACACGCCATTCCAAACCCAGTCACACACACTGAATTCCACACTCCCCCACCCCCCCCATCCCCACCCTCCCACCCACACACCACCCACCCACACACACACACACATGCGCGCACACACACACACGCACACACTCACAAGAACGCATGCACACACACTCACCACCCACCCACACACACACGCACACACACACACACTCACACACACACACCACCCACCCATCCACATACACACACACACCACCCAACCACCCACTCACACACACACACACGTACACACACACACCACTCACCCACACACACACACACCACCCACCCACACACACGCACACACACACACACCACCCACCCACACACACACTCACACACACACGTACACACACACAAGCACACACACGCACACCACCCACCCAACCACACACACTCACACACACATGCACACACACACACGTACACACACACTCACACACACACTCCCACTCTCACACACACCACCCACCCACACACACACACTCACACACACGCACACACACACACACACACACACACACACACACA